TTTCATCGCATTTTTTACAAGCAAACTTGACTCGCTTGTCAGGCTCTCGTTAATGCACATGCCTTATTTGCTTATTTGCTTGCATCAAAGTATCCTTAAAAACATCATAAATTGGAATAATGAAAATGCGAAAAAAAAAGTTACTTACTACTCTACGCGGAATGACAGACAATGTTGCAGGTTTTTAACACTTGGTTTGTCGAATGTGCGAATTCACTTAAATTACTTTAATTAATTAACTGATGAAGGTTTTATATCTTTTACCCATCAAAGGCTATCGCAAGTTCTGCAAAGGCGCAATAACTAATAAAAGCAGCTGCAACCATATTTTGCACTTGCAAACAAAGAAAATAAAAGAAAATTTTTTTTATTTACTGATTTTTAATATAAAATACAGACAGACAGACAACTTTCTTAAAGACGATTTATTTTTCGCAATAAGCAAAAAAATGGGAGAAAGTATTTGCTCGTTTATCAGCATATCATATTTACTAAGCGCCATCTATGCGAAATTTTCTTCATCATATTTATCTATATGCACTAGAGGCAACGGAAAACATTTCTTCCTGCATTTAACGGTAGTTTAGAAACATTATACCAAAGATTCACACCATTTCGTAGAGTACCATATGCAATAACCTCACGTACAGATAACGCTTTTCGCAAGCGCTATAATGCCAGAGAAAACTTAATCACAGGAATGGCTAAGAATTTTTTCAAAATAAACGCAAGATATGTCAGCATTTTTTTCAAAATACCAGACAACATCAAAGGTAACTAAATGACAAGATGTCCCAACATTTGATTCAATATAAAAGTAATGCAATGGATTGTTGTCGCTTCTGTTATCAATACCAATATATTAATGTTAATGGCAAATATTCACAACAATTAATTACTGTCATGTTGTAAAAAAATACTTGAAATTGTCTTTTGCTAGAAAAAAGAAAAAATAAATTTTTAAGGTAACCTTTCACTTCGTTAATGCTAACGACAAAGCTGTGATAATGGTATGCTATGCATAGTCATTCTGTTTAGCGCTATTATTATTATTATTATTATTATTAATTTCGCCACAGAAATAAATTCTAAGACTAAACTCTTAAAAGCACTAGCATCTAAGGCTATCGGCTTTTATTAAAAACTCTACCGCACTTGAGATTCGAACTCACGACCATTGACTTGCTAGTCGAGATTCCTCCCCTTCGGCTACTCAGGCGGATGTGTTTAGCGCTAATCAATCGAATGCCCAAAGAAGTCAGAAGTCGGATTAGAAAGCGCATTGTATTTATTTATAATTTTTCTTTCTTTCTTCTTCTTCAATTTCTTAAGAGTTTGTGACTTTTGATACCTTCGATATAATGCATTTATTAATAGTTCTATTTACATCCTCTCTTTCTTTGATACATAAAAATGCAAGTGTTCTCTCTCCCCTCTCTGTCCTAAAATCAATCATTTTGACTGCTTTTGTTTCAGTTCTTCTAATGTTAACACGCCTTACGTGGAAAATGTTTTAGTTTATGGCGCAGAAGAAGTCAAATATAAGCAAAAGAGAGGGAATATTTTAAATCTACTTTATCCGAGCATACAGTTAGTGCCATTAAATAAGAGTTAAAGCAATTACATAAGAAATAGATTCAATAGAATCAATTGTTCAGTCACTCAATTCGATCGCGTTACCGTTCAAAAGGTATATATAAAATATGGAAAGTGTTTATTAATTTAATAAATATTTAATTATTTTTGAAACGCGCCACGCAATCATATTTTTCATAATTACTTGGTCCATTTACAACATAACTTGAATAATAAAGTTTTCTTCCATATGTCTGTACAGGTACGGTATGTCTGCATTTACGAAGGATATCATATATGTGCGCGCTGATGTATCACTCGATGTATCACTTCGTTGTAAGGAAAGTGGGCAATGGAATGGTATGTGAACCAATTGGTAGGAAGACATATCCCGAAACTTATGTAACTTTAAGCGATTTCTATAACGATCGGTTTCCCTAAGACATAAGAAAACAATGTGATTTTTTATTATTGTCCTTTCGCACAAAAGTAAATGAGATCGAAACAGAACAGGACAGCAGTTATAACTGCATTGTGAAAGAAACCAAAGTTAATTTTTTCGTTTTTTGCTTTCACTTAGGAACACTTGCCTACCAGATGAATACCAATTCCGAAGAAAACAAGTATTGCAAACACCTTTACGTAAACCTGTATGTATAAAGAAGATAATTCATGTCTGATAAAGCACACCCTCTCCCTTCCATTGTGAAAATTATATTTCTTTCTTCAGACTTTAAGCTTTTCATTATTCGCTCCGAGACACAAATGATTGTTTGCCAGATATACACAGTGAGGACGACACCATAGCATCTAGATTACCCAATGATGTGTGGCTGAGTACTTTCAGAAATGTGTCGCAATCATGATCTACTGCACGTCAACTTAGTCCACGGACGCTGCCATCAGCTAGCCCGCACTAAACTAAAGCGCCAATCGCGGTTAATCATTACCAGACAAAATTTAAAGCACATTTCGATTAAGATTTGAGATATCAGAGGGTAGAGATATATGATTGGATAGATGCTATGTCGGGAAAGCTTAGAAGCGTTGAGCCCCAATATTTATGATCTGATATTTTTCGACTAACACTTTATCATTCTTCAACTATTTTTCCGCTTAGCAATCTTTTACCGAACTTAACGTACTTGTATCTGAAGCTGATCGATACCGACAAAAGCTGATTATCAATGACATTTAACATCAACACGTTCGCGAACTGGAAGAATATAAGTGAGTGAGCAAAAAATGATGGTCAATTTATTCTAAAAGTAGTTGTGATATTCGCGATCCGATTGAATACATTTTCTAAGGGTAGTTATTATAGAAGATCACAATTCAATCGATATATGCAACGAATGCTGCAGTATTCACACTATAAGTTAACATTTTGCACAGCATTCAGATAAGAGAAAACATGAGAAAAGAGGACAATGAGAGAAGATTCTCTCCTACCAGTGTGTAGAAATTTACGAATTTAAAAGTGCATTAAAAAAATTTGCAAATACACAGAAAAAATAAGTAAATAATATGGAAAATCCCAAAGAACCGGATAATCAATACTTCAAGGCAAGGATAACAGTTAAAAAACCCCAGATATATATAAAATTAAATCAAAAATAATTGGGTTCAAAATTTGAATGCTATTGCGCTCACGTCCGCGAACGTGTTAACTTGAATTCGTTGGTTTCGTTTTTGTTTCCATTTCCTCATGCTCACGGATATAAAGCTCTTCTCTTCTGCTTCTAAAGTATCGTTTTGATCATTTCTCGGCAAAAAGCGGTCAAGTTGGTGAAAGGTGATATTTCCGCATACTAAACGAACGAAGAAAATGTGAGTTAGATGGGACCGTTTTTTTGAATCCCTAAGCAAACTCGACTTTTTGGACGAATAATGACTTGCTTCACGGAGAAAATGTTTATATTACCTTTGGGTCACGTGTCATTACACGATAAAGCGAATATAAGACATTTGACCCGCAAAGGTCCACGTGAAGGTATTTTTCCGAAGGAGTGCATTTCATGGCAAGAAGTTATTTGTGAAAATTTATGAAATTTTTAATTTTGGTTTGCAATCCGCGCGGCAATATGAGTTGCTTAGTGATCGGTCTTGCATGACATGAGTATATTACTGACTCGTCTGTTCTTCTCTATGCAAGCTGGGCATCGAACATTACAAAATTATAAACTATTTTCATTTTCTCTGTTCATTTTCATTATTATCGAGAAAAAGGCCACAAATTCCTTAAATGAGCAATTTTCCGCAACCAAGCGATTTTCAGCCAGCATTGTTAACCGGGAAATATATGCAATAAATATTTTACAGAACCACGCTTGCGCAAATGAATCATGTTAAAGGAGAAAAGAAGTTCTTCTTCAACCACGATGTATGTGTGCGTTAACAATTGTGAGTACTTAATGTATCGCTAAGTATTTATACAAAAATTCCGACTAAATATATCCGTAAATATAATCTGTTGAGTGACACAAAAATTTCCACGCACTCAACCGTCAAGCAGAAGGCATGCATTTGCGTCGTCTTTTACGCACACAAATCTCAAAATATGTCTGAAGTTGTGCATATAGATTGTCTTGGATTATTGGAACTACCAGGCAAGCAGATGGGAAAGTTTTTATTTACATGAACCGAACAAAGTTATTATAAAGTAGTCAAAATTGTAATTTGCTCTAAAAAAAAAGCCGGGTTTTCTTTTGTCCAGCACTTTTGTATGCACTACCTGTTTAGTCTACGCATTGTTCGAGTATGTGTGCATATTTAGTGCATTTCCAGGCAGACGGTAATTCAAGTATTCATCCGTATACATCCGTATGACTGATCTGTTAAATGACACTAAAATTTCCGTGAACTTAAGCGTCAGACAGAATAAATGCGTCATGCATGCTCTCGCCCGCCAAAATTTGACTTTATTGTCCATGTTACGTGTAGTTTAACGTGCGGCTTGCACGTCTCATTACTACAGCAAAGCACAGGACATTTTCAGTGTAGGCGAGCAAAACACAATTATCCGGTTAATATCCCCGCAAACCCTTATGATCTTTAAACCGTAAACTATGTTAGCTGCAACTAGTTAGAAATGTTGTGATATGAATTATTCTTACTTTGCAAAACGCAACTGAAATTGTCTTCTATTTAAAAAACGTGAGTTTCCAAAGTAATCGTTTGCTTTATCGATATTTACATAAACAAAATGGAATGCAATGATCTTGCCGCTGTAATGTAATGCAATCCATACGTTCCACTTGTTTAGTGTATTACATGATACAAATGCATTCTGTGTAGCGTTTAGCTTCGTGTACGTAGAAAGTGTTTCAATTGATGCCACAGAAAAAGTGAAATATAACTAAAAAAAAGAGGATATCTTAGTAATATACTCAGTATGAAATCTCTATACCTTATCTAATGAAGATCCAAACTTTCAGTTATCGCTATTAAAGAAGAGTTGAAACAATTCAATAATTAATTGATTCAAAGCAATCATTTAGTCACAAATTCCATCTGTTTACCTTTAAACCAGTGTACACTTGAAGTGTTTATTAATTTCATAAAGGTTTAATTATTTTTGGAACTCGTTACGCAGTCATAACGAAAAATGTCGTAAGTAACATGACAACCCAATATTAAAAATGATCTCGCCTGTGCAAGCAGGGGCGTGTGTCATGTTAACCACCTCGTTTCTAATATATGATCATTTTCACCTTTCTATTATTAGAAACATGAATAAAGGAAATGCATGCGAGCGAATTGATGCGGATGTGTCCCCCAGCACAAGTCAAGGTTGCACTGGCACTTTACTGAAACATAAGGAAATTGCACACACTACGAGTGCGGAAACTGAGGTAAGTTTAATCGATTTCTACAACGATCCATTCCCATAAGCAAGCTATGTGGTCTTTTGTTATTGCTCTTTCATACAAAAGCAAATAACATCGACATTACAATGACAACAAAAATCGCATTGAAGAAGAATCAGTTAAATTTTTTTGTTCTTTGCACAAAGTTAGGAAATAAGGCTATTGGCAAACGCCTTTGATGCATTTGAAGCATATGAGCGTAGAATGTAATGTAAATGTGAAATATTCCCATAAAGGGGCGCACAAAACCAATATTCAGAAAACTTTGAGATTTACATACATAAAGATTTACATACATAAAGTGCTTTACTGAGAAAAACATCTTCAGTAAAATTCCTGAAAACTCTCTGCTTTGTCTTAAGATAATTGGATTTCTTTCTTCGTACTGCAGACTTCCCACTTTTGCATATTAACATATTTTATAAAATTTCTTTACTTTTTTATTTATTTTAGGATGTAATGGATATATTGCCCAATGAAATATGGCTGAAAATTTTTAGGAAAATGTCACATCGCAACCTATTACACGTCAGCGTAGTCTGCAGACACTGGTGTCAATTGGCTCACGTTGTACTAAAGCGCAAATCGCAATTGATCATTACCAGCGAAAATTTAAAGGCTATTTGCGAGCTTTTGAAGCGTCGCGATTTGAAATACGGTAATGTAGAGATACGTGGTTGGATGACTGACAAATCGCTCGAACTCAATAACATAACGCCAGCGACTCTTTTAAAAACCTTTCAATATTTAGGATCTGATATTGTACGACTAACACTTTATCAGCCATCAATCCTTTCCCTGCTTAATAATCTTTTGCCGAAACTCAGCGATTTGGATCTCTACGATATGTGCTTCGAAGAAAGAGTGTCGGTTGACTTTAGCAAATTTTCGAACCTTAAATCGTTATCGGCGCCCAGTAACAAACTTGCAACGACTCAATTATTATCGAATTTGACGCAAACACCCACATCCACAACCATTTATTTACAAAAATTAAGCATAAATATTAGCGATTCGTTTGCCGACGGCTTAAAAGTAATAGCAATGTGTGCATCCTCATTACGTTGGCTCACAGTTGGTTCCTGTGGGCCTTTGAGATTAGAGTCTCAATTTAACGAAATCTTTAAAAAACTTACTCAGCTGAAGGTACTAGATTTAAGCGGTATTTGCTGCGCGACACTCGAAGCACTGAACGCCACAAGGGCTATCTTAGAGAATCTTTCAAAGGACAACCCGCTTAAAACAATAAACTTAGGTTCAATGCCCGTTGATTACTATACATTGGAATTAATTATAAGCAAATGGTCGCGTTCTTTACAATGTTTATACTTACCATGCTCTGCACTAACAGGGATCTTTATCAAACAATTAAACTTCACGAGGAGTAAATTACGTCGTCTGGTTTTGCGTGGATTCTTCTTCCCTGACATCCTAAACGGTATAGCTCCGAAAACCAATAAAACGCTAACAGAATTGAAGTTATTTGACTGCCGTCTGAGCGGAGAATCATTCTGCGTGCTAATTCGGCGTCTACCTAATTTGAAGATATTGGATTTGAGGGGACTTAACACAAAAATAACCGACAAGGAATTGTTTTACATCTTTGAGCATCTCATACATTTACGTCGCCTTTTCTTGGATCCATGTGCCAGCAAAAATAGCATAACAGGCTTAAAGCCTAACATAAGTAATTTGAAAAGACTTGAAATACTTGAATCATGCTTGTGTCCGATTAAAGTTCTCCAGCTCTTAGATATAGAAATTAAATTTAAAGGGCTGACGACACTGGACCTAAAGTGTTGTAAAAGGGCTGAGAAGCTCTCCGTTTCAACCATTTTAGACATAAGCGTATACTTTCCTGTTCTTGAAACTCTGTTATTTCAAGATTTGAGTTACGGCAGTAGTGTTCAAGAACTGCGTAGGAGATTTCCACGTCTGATTTTATTAGACTACGACATGTTTTTTAAAATTGAAAGCTTTAGAAAGCAAATAAAACTAAGCAAAATGAACAGGAGTATGTAAAACGTATTTGTAGTATGGTAACAGAATAAATAATAAAATGCTTTAGAAACGAATGTTTTTACTTATGCTTACATTCCGGACTTCTAATAGGTTGTTTTCAAGGCGCTAAAAGCGAGTTAATGTGTTCTAATGCTGACAATTGCGAAATCAAAATCATACCAACCTATATCCCTTACTTAGGTGCTATGAAAACAAGAACTTCTGTAAATAATTGAACGCTTACTTCACTTGCATAAAACAATGCCTTCCAATACGTCCCTTCATTGCATTAAATGGAGTATAAATTCTCGAAATATTAAAAACTTTCAATCATAAAAGCAACTGGAAGGCGTGAATTAATCATGCGATTCTTATACCCATCACCCAAGGACGATAATTTTATTCGTTTTATCAAAAAAGTTGCAAGGTCCAGGAAGAAGTTTCGGGGACCTCACAAAGTACATATATTCTCGATCAGCATCAAATCATCTCAAGCAGGTCCACTTGTCTGTCTGTGTAAAGTCTGTTGTAAAGATTCTCCTTTCCGCCACGTATACAAAGACGCAAAAGTATTCCAAAATCACCCAAACCGGGCAATGGGCAGGTCTTTGCAACCAGAACTGTAATGAACTTTCCTTTCCGTTTTTCTAGCTTCTTACTCATAAAGTGCACCCTATAAATTTTCACTTTTATTCTAAACATAGAAGAACTTAGCCGCGACATCTAATATTATAAAGATCGAAAATCATTTTCCTTCTTTCTTTTTGTTTTTTTTTTTTTTTGGTGGATAACAGCGATGGGTGTAAAAGATTCGGTGGCAACCGAATATAATTTTTCTACTTTTTATATTTCAAATTACGTTGGGTCCTTTCGCTTCCTTCCTTTTTAACTCAATATACACGCACACCCCAATCCATTTGTCTAACAGATTTATAGTTTTCTATATATCGATGGATCCTCTCTGATTTCGTTACATAATTTTCTATGTTTACGCGCATCTACTTTGTGGTTTTTGAAACTCAAAATTGATTTTCTTTCCTAAGCGATTGGACGATATTGTTATAAATTTCGATAACGTTATACCTTTTTTTTTGTAATATCTAAATTTTCCATTGGATGGACAACATTCTAATATTGTCTATTAACTTATCATGTAATTTTTCGATGTTTGAACTAACAATTAGTTTACTCGGTTTTATCCAGTGTAAATAAAGTAATTTTTCTGAAAATAGTTCTTAATAAATTGCTGTTGCGAACTTGGAAAGTCGTTCTCTCACTTAAAGTTCAAAATGTTAGAATTTCAGTTAGTCTAGGCGTCCAAATTTTCAATTTCCTTAATATTTTTTCCTGTTATGAAACGGACTTCTGATTAACAACAGTTTCATATTGTTACATACAAGTTGAGTTTGAATAATTATATATGAACGTCACAGGTTCCTGATTCTATAGTTCTCGGATATACAGCGTGACCACCGTATCAATGAAACGATGCTATCACTTCCATAAATATTTATTAGTTTCTGCTGTAAAACATACCGCAAAGCCTTGATAGTTAGTTCTGAACAGGTTTGTGCTTACCTTACCTTTTTCAATACATATCGCTCTAATTTACTTTCTATATCTGATGCATTTTTAAACATTTCCATATCTTCATATTTTCTTTCTAAATACATTTTACTGTCCATACAAATGAGAAGTAATGATAAATATGCAGCTAAGCCGTCTAGTACATTGCCATGTAAACGTTATATGCCTGCATTTGAAATTAGGATCTCATTAAAAATTGCTCGATGTCAGTATAATACACGTGGTCGAAAGTGGGCACAAATAATCCATCGGTATTTCGGTTTTTATTTAAGGCTCTTACCTAGCATCGATTTTTGTATTTACAGCGACGACGGTCTCATAGTGAAATCGTCACTATCCATTTCTTTTTCGATTTTTCGGTATCTGCTGTGCGTTACTGAGCACAATGCACAAGGCATAGCGTCACCGCTGAGTTGAGCTCTTTAAGCATGCGTTGTAACGCGTAGAATTTACAACTGTAGAGAAAGCCGATAAAGTATGCATTTTTCCTAGAGTCGAGTGCAACATTTTTTGATCGTAAAATTGCTGTCGACTAACATATTCAATTCGATATCGAGAATCATTAACCGGCCACTGTCGACAATACAAATTTTGTCTATCAAGACCTTGAAGACTACGGTTCTTGCGCCTCAAGTACAATCTACGTTCACGTTAAGAAATATTGTAAGTTTCCCTTACACTTGCTTTGCATTTAAACGGCGATGTTAATCGTACGAAATTTATATAATTTAAAAACCATTTAATTAAAAACTGTTTAGTTAAAAAAAAAAAGCCGCGCCGTGCATTTCTATTTTATAAAACAATTACAATTTAAAAGGAAGAAAATAGAAAACATGTTATTTTTTGTCACTAAACTAATCTACATACAAATATAACATGACATATAGTACACAATAATGTTACATGCTCTTAAAAATTACGATACGAAACATTCAGTTTTTAACTTAACTAAATTTTTGCATTCATTATCGCTAACAATGAAACTTGAGTCTACTTAATGTCTATAAACTGTACAAATGTATACATAATAAATCTTTAATAAACAAAATAACAAGTATCTCCCGGGAAGTTCATGTTTAGACCTGTAATACGATTATCGATTCTTATAAAGTTCTTAGCATAGGTTAATAGTAATATAATGGCAATGACGGCTACAATAATGATGATTTTATTGCTAATCGATAGACTAGAATGGATGTTCAAACATTTGGTTCTAATGTGATATTATTGCCAACCTGAGCGGGTGGGGCAGCTGGTGCGGTGCCACCTTCGATTGAGCTGCTCTCGGCATCTGAATCCTTGATAGAATTAGATTCTTCATCACCCATAAGAGCGCGATACTTTTTGGCAATAGCTTCCCAGTCCGTAACATTTTCAATGCGATTTTGATTAGCTGCGGAAAAGCTGGTCTGCGATCCTAGAGGTGAAAGATGAACCACGGATAGAGCCGTTGAATCTGTTAGTGTACGAACAAGAGAGAAAGAAAACGTTCGTAAAAATCAAATAAATATTTATATAGCTTTAATTATTTTTGAAATGATGGGAACAATTTTTATTTAGCTGTACCGTAGAGCCGTAAAGTAATTCTCGGTCTCACATCGTGATTTGAGAACAAGTATTGGGCTTGCTTGCAGCAGTACAGTACAGTTCCTACCTTTTTTGATTTTTGAAAGCCATTTGGCTCCAGCTTTGGTACGCGGGCTGGCTTGTCGTATTCCCATCATCTGTACCAGACTTGGACGCTTCTTTTTCTTGATGCGAGCCTAATATAAAGTGTTCAAAGAATGCGTGAGCAAACGAGCAAGACAAGAGACAATAATACAAACACCATAAATATGATACACACAGTGACAGAGAATTGATAAAGAAATAAGTGCTAGTGCACTTGTATCTTAAATAAGGTAAAAGGTACAAAAGTGCTAATTCGACAATTTTTATGCATTGTAGCCGAATTTTTTAAAAATAAAATGAGATTTTCTTTTAACAGCTTTTCATTACACTCGTCACGCTTTCTCACAAATTTTCTTCAGATAGTCTCAAAAGATTTTTATCAAGCTTGGCTGCCAACTTTCTTTACACATGTTGAATAAATTTTTAACAAGCTTGGTTCCTAATTTTCGTAAATCATTGTTAATAAATGGTAAATTTCATCAAGCCCTGTTGCCAATTTTCCTATAAGATTTTCAATAAATTTATATCAAATTTAGCTGTCAATTTTCTTAAAACATTGTCAATTGCTTGGTCGTCAATTTTTTTAAAATATTTTTAATGAATGGTTTTTAAGCTTTCTTTCCAAATTTCAATAGATTTCCATCAGTCTTCACTGCCAATATTCTTAACACAAATTCACTAAATTCTTATCAAGCGTGGTTGTCAATTTTCTTTCTGGGTCGATAATTTTCTTAAATTGGTTGGTTGCTATTTTTTTTAAAATATTTTTAATAAATGGTTTCTAAGCATTGTTTCCAATTTTCAATAAATTTCTATCAATCTTGGCTGCCAATTTTTTTAACAAATGTTAAATAAATTTTTATCAAGCGTGGTTGTCAATTTTCTTAAGCTATTGTTAATAAATAGCTTTCAAGCTTTGTTGCCAATTTTTTATCGCATAAATGAACAAACCATTGTGTCAAACGTTTTAGTGCCAGTTTGTGTTGAAATGTGTTGAAGTGCTAAAATCATATATATGTTGTTGCCAAATTGCTTTAAATGAATTGGGGAAAAGGTCATTTTTTAACGTTTGGATTCCCAAAAAGAAGAAGAGTTGATAAAATCAGCTGCTTTTCAAATGCAACTTTACCTTGACCTTCTCAACGATCCACATAAACCAGGTGGTAACTAAATTAAGCGGCGACGGCGCTGTTGTAGTGCGATGCATGTTACGGATGAGCTTTGATAAACCGAATTTCCACTCAATATCAGATTGTGCCTAAATATTTTTGGAATTTTTTTTGTTTTTTTTTTTTTTTAGTATGGATTCAAATGTAATATGGCAAACAATTCCAAATGTTATGTGATATGAATATTAAAAGAACAAGAAGAAGAATCAAAAAAGAAAGATCATACAAAACGTAATGAATGATGATATCTGGCATAGTGTTTGAAGCGCTGAAATAAACAATTTAAGGAATAAAATATTCAAATAGTACTGAAGTTTCTCGCAGATGCTACGTCTCTCCCGCGTTGCTGTCTAGGAAAGATTTTCAAAGACGTTAGACATAGCTGTTTGCCCGGTTTACGCTTGGTCTTTAAAAACTTGAGCACTATTCGAATATTTAATGACTCATGCAATTTGTATTCTAATCTAAATTTTTGATAATATACACATACATACACACGCATAGAATTACACTAAGAAAGTCATTTCTATAAAACGAACAAAAACGACAAACACACACACACACACAAAAGCTTGTACAAATACGAAGCTCATCTATCGGTGATTGAAAGCCAATTAGGCTTAAGTTTTTGCAGATATATCGTTAAGACACAAAATTGTTAACGAAAATTGTATCTTAAGGATTACAATACTTTTTCACGTTAATGCCTTGCAATTTCCCAGGAAGTTGCAAGTCTGGGCAGTTGATGGAACTACAGAAAATTCCCATCTTCTTTATGTCGTTACACATAAAAACATCAGACGGATTTTAGCTAACATAAATACATAAATATTTCACATTACGATTACATAAGTATCTGTACTTAGGCTGGAAAAAAATATTAGTTAGTATTATTAAGAAAGTGTTGGCAAATTAAAATTTAAATTGAAAAAAGGAGAAGAATGATAATTGTACCTGTATGCGTTGATAAGTGTCGGACATCATGGCAATTAGTAAATTGATAAGCACCACCACCGATACCAACATGTAGATGCCAAAGACTATCTTGAAAAGATACTCAACCCAGTAAGGCTGGGTGGGCGTAGCTAAATTTTTAATTTTGTCAACTTGCGTTTGTTCGGTCGTCGTTTGACCGAATACTGCGAAGAATAATAGCTCAAATGAATTTATAGGATGCATGCGCACTGTGACCACCATTCAAAGACAACACAACAAAGGGATACCCCATAAAAAATAGACAATGACCAACATATCGACAATAAACCACACATATATGATATTTCAATCATCCCCCGCCATCATCAGTACATAGATAGTACACAGTACACAAACATTACGACACATTAATATGTGAAGTGTTATAGATGTTGAACAAATAAAAACGTACGAAACGCCCAAAAAATTAGTTTAGACATGTTGGAGATGACCGTTATTGAAGAAAGAAAAGAGAAATACATATAAAATTAGTGAGTTTCATTTATACGAACCTGAATGCGTTGATAAGTATCCGACATCATGGCAATTAGCAGATTGATGAGAACAACCACAGACACCAGCAAATAGATGCCGAAAACCAATTTGAATAATACTTCGGTCCATTCGGGTCTTAAATGTCGCATAGGATTAATATCCACTGTGGTAGTCTGGCCGAAAACAGCAAAAAACAAACGTTCAAATGCCAAGAAAGGCGTCATAGGTCCTGATTGATAATTATTCGTTCGTAGGCGTTAGAAATTCAGGAGAGTGTTAATAAATAATTTGTTTTCTCGGAAAGCATTTCAGAATTGCTTACATCACACATTTATAAGTGTTGGTGTTCGACAGAGATATGGATGAAGTGTATATAGAATTCGCAAAGAATATTAGGGTGAGTAACAATGCCACACCAAAAGAAAAAAAAGGAAAACGGGAGCGAGTAACTCATTTGAATATAAAAGTCACTTGCTTGCCTTTTGTGCATTGAAATGTGTGGAAAGCGTTCAAAGCTAAAACGTTTCCATTTAAATAAAACAAAAAAAAAAATTAAAACTTCTTCTCTCGATTTTCAATTTCCACTAAGCGAACATTAACATGCGCATCATATTCCAACGATCTCGTCAAATCATGCATTTTTCAAGCATAACAAACAAATTTGTATCCAACTCTGTCCAAGTAAACGATTTCATATTTGTAGTTTTTGTTAACGATATATAAAGTATTTTGTAAAAGTTGTAAAATGTGAATAAAATTGGTCGTTAATTTATAGAGAAGTGCGCAGAAAGAAGCCTTGGAAACAAAAATCAATAGAATCATGCTAAATAAAATCAAGAGTTCACAGAAAAATATATTTATGTTTATCTCTGATATTCAATGCGCTAACACTTTTCTTTTCTTAGTAAAAAATTCAAATAAATTTAATAATGTTTCTCTCTCTCTCTCTTTAATAAGCCCTGTATAATAATTAGTAAGGATGCAATTCAAATCGGAATACTAAAACGACTAGGGATTAAAGTTATTGCTACCTATTGTAGTTAAGCTCAGAAGATTACTCTTATCATGTTAATAAGAATGTTTCAATAAAGACGCTAAGACCTTAAGATAGGCCCACCGTTTATTGTACCGATTTTTGACCACTCCCCATAAAACGCCCTATTTTAAAAATTTATATGAAAAAAATTGTAGTTTTCAATATATCTCTCCAGGTATGAAAAATTGGGTTCGTCAAACAAGAATTTATTGCACCCCATCTCATATAAACGTTCCTACGAACTGAATAACTGTATTTGGCGAAGTGATACAGGGCATATAACATATAATAATCGTGATAATGTTTGCAACACCCAGAAGAAAGCTTCAGAGAGCCTACAAACTATATATATTCTTGATCTGTCCGTCTGTTTGTGTGTCTGTGTGATATGTGCTGTTGACACTTTCTTCGTCACAGAAATTAAAATATCGATTTAAAATTTACCCAAAACATTGGAAGTCTTTCCACGCTGGTTGGTACTGAAAGTGGTCCAAATTAATCAGAATACAACCACGCCGTGAAGCGTGCACTTAAACTGGTGGATTAATTTTTTCGTTATAAGAGTAAGAGAGAAGGTAAGTGTGTTAATTCTGAGTTAGTTGTGGTGGACATCATGGCGCAGTAGATTGAATTTTCTGAAAAGCACCTTTCAGTAAAATTAAAGTTGAAAGACATATTTCATCCCATTCTCTTTGTGATGACAATAAATAAAAGCATGGGGCGTAAAAGATTTTAACGGTGATGGGCATGCGAGATTCGGCCTCTCCCGAACATATCTCTTTCACTTGTTTCAGTTGCTCCTACTTAGCGTCTAGCGATAGCAGTAGTAGTAGTTATGTCAGCATATTTTTTCGGATAACTTTTCCAGTTAAGCGGTGTTTACACGAAATCGCTAGAGGGTTTCGTCCGCTAGTGGGACTAAGTACGGTTAATATCCCACTGATTTAAAAACTGTGAGAGGAACCGTCGTGGGAACCGTGAGGGACGACCGTCAATTGAATAATAAACAAGATTTCTTCTCTGAATTCTTGTGCGAAATGCACTTATCCCAAGAACAAATCAAAATGAGATGCTGTTGCTTTGAAGGTAGTACATAGTGTAGCATTTGCTGTTCGGCCAAGTAAATAAAATGAAGCTGCCGCTACAACCGTTGGTCGCTACCAGACCATGTAGGCCAACTGTTTTATGAACATTTTGGAAGAATTAAAAGTTTCTCACCTCTAGTTTCAACGAACCAGGAAAGACCTAGGAAACAGTTAGTGTTTTAGATTTGCTCCTTGGTAATGAGACCTCGTAAGGCCTTCTTTCGAAAACAAATAACGAAGTCTTATCATAATTATTGAACATTATTTTAAAAAACTCCTGTCAGGTATCCCGCACCGTAACTGTATTCCTAACTCACGCCATAGCAATCTGTGCATCTGTTTACATTTTGTCAGTTGTTAGGATATCCAGTGAACGAAAACATGAACTAACAACTTGATAGTTGGTGGCTTTAAGCCTTAATGTTCTTATAAGAGTGTACTTGTCCTTCGTTCCTTTGTTCGCGTCGAACTTTGGAACAAAAGCACTCATAATCGGCAGACAACATGGGCACGTAAACATTTTTTAATATAGAGGCCTCAGTCGATAAAAATCTAATACTCGCCTTCTTACGTTGCTATACCTAAAAAGTAAACCGTCGTACTGTTCTTTTAAGCTTTTTGCTGGGGCGGAATAATAAAACTAACGTAGTGCGGACTGTCTTCACTACGCTTACTCTTCAATTAATATAATTTTTTTTGTGAACAATATGGTGAAAAAGTAAAAAAAAAAAAAAAAAAAAAAAAGAAACAAGAAATACAAGTTAGTCAGCATTACAACACTTTTCCACAACTTTAAAAAATGCACAAAATAAACAAGTCCTCCAACAAATTGTCGTTAAGAAGGGGGACATTATCATGCCACATATAAAGATCACAACACCGAAGGCATTTTAATCACAATCATTCACAAAGGCACAGTAAGACTAAAAATCAAATGAAATCACAACATTGGTAGGCTTTTCATACTATAAACAACACTTACGATCGTCTTTATGCTTGCGACGAAATTCACTCAACATATGGCGGCTGTCCTTATAGCTTTCGGGTGGAGGCGGAGGACGAGCCGTAGGCAAATCATCTGATAGGACATATTGTAAAAGTGTGTACGTTAATTACATTGTATTCAGTATATAGGTGTTAGTTTAATCTAACATGGAGTCTGCAATTGTTCGACATGCAAAAGATAGTGGCTTTTGTGGAGTGAAGAAGTACAGGCAGATACTTATCAAAAACAGGTTCAGTTTTTTGTTTTTTGTTTTGTTTTGTTTTTTTTTTTTTTATACATCGATCCGTAAAACATTAAAGAAATCAACACAACAACATCAACTTATATAAACATTTAAAAATATTTAAAAATTGATAATAAATTTGTACTTACCGTCACTGAAATAACCTCGATTGCGATTCCTTTTTTCGAATGAACGCAAATCTTCGGGTGTGAAGTTAGAAAATGATTGATTCAATGCGACGATATGCATTGAAAATCCGAATACAAAAATGGCCAAAACTGCCAGAAAGCGTGCCAAGTCTTTAAGCAAATCTCCAATAATTATAGCCCATGGCCCGAAAAGGTGATGAAAGGAGAGGAAGTCCAAAATTTGTACACATGCAAGCAGAAAAGCTAAAGCAAAGCATTGATTGCGACAATAAATAAGCGTAGGCCAGTATTCTTTGGACACAAAACAGAACGCCGTTACATGTACACCCACACCTGCCATTCCCAACAGTAAAACGAGTAATTTGATTGATCCTAACCCCGATTTGTCGGACGGATTAGTCAACTCAAACAAAAGGAGGCCACTTAACCATATAAGCAGTCCTATTTCATACCAATAGGGAATTAAGTTAAGCCTCAGCACGGGATAAATAGGTGTAATGCCGACGATACTCAATAAAATCATTAAATATATATGTGAAGTTAGGTAAGACATGAATTTTATAATCGGCACTTTATTAAATTTATGACCCATGGGAAAAGTAAAACCAATCCAGACAGGAGGACAAACAATGAAAGCTACTAATAACAGCATTAGTTTCCACGAAGCCCAAGTTAAGGAGCCGCGCCAAAGTTCCTAAAATGAAATGTGTATTCAGTTAAAAAGTCAATGAGCTTTTTAAGATTACCTGCAGGTAACGCTGGACCACTGTATGAGCAATAACTTCTTTCTGCTCGTTTTCTATCAGAACATCTAGAAATTCCATGTTGCGCTTGTCGGTAGCTTGCAAAATCTTTCCCGCCGATTCGGAACCAGCTGCTAAAGCTAAAAGTTCAGTAGCCATTGCCTCGCATTGTTTACCCGCTGCTACCAAATCCTTAGCACGTTCTTTTTCCTTTATGCGAATAGTAAGGCTTTAGATAATCTTCTAAACGCGTCTTTATATTATTAACCAACCTTAGTAGACAAATTTATATAAATATTGGATAATTTTGCAGCGGTGTCAACGGGGGCAGGAGAAACTAACACAAACTCTTGTATCGGTTTGTTATTGTGATTTTTTGATACTATCATTAAATTATATACAAAGCGTTTGTCTTCCATTAAACCATAAGTATCGTGCTCTTTGTTCATGAGATAACGCAGAACATCGTTATGGCCTTCGGAAGCAGCAAACCATATAGGAGCACAACCGAAGTTGGTTTCTGATTTAGGTGAGGCACCAGCTTCACACAACAGCTTAACCACATCCAAGTGGCCGGTTTTGGCAGCACAATGTAGTGGCGTCCAACCGTTTTTATCGGTTGCATTTATCTCTGCGCCTTGACCCAACAAAATCTCGACCATTTGAAAATGACCATGCATAGATGCGATATGCAGGCCCGTTCTGCCATGACGATCTGTCGATTGGAGAAGTTCTGCTGAGCGGCTCAGGAGCAAACCAACCACTGACATGTGACCACCGAAACAAGCCAAATGGAGAGGATTGTAACCCTGAATATAAGCGATAACAAAATCATGTTCCCTGCAACGTCTTTCTTAGTACTTACATTTTCCGTTGTAGACGCATCGACTTGTACACCAGCCGAATTCAGCAATAGCCTCACGACATTTTCATTTCCCGAAAACGCCGCTAAATGGAGAGGTGTCATGCCTGATTCTGTGCCTAATTCGCCAAATAAACTCTGCCCGGTGGGTGTTTCCGACTTTACCGTTGCCGGTACACTTGTTAACAATTCACGCACTGTGTCAGCTTGTCCATAGTAGGCTGCCACATGCAACGGTGTCAGTCCCAATTTCTTGCTGGTGATTCTCAAAGAATTTGTACTCTTTAATACGTCCAATACTTGGCCATGGCCGTTTTGCGCTGCCAAATGTACGGCCGTGAAGCCTGCTTTATTCTCTTCCGTGCAAGACGCCCCAGCTCTGACCAGGGCCTTAACTACGTCCGCGTGACCACCCTCGGCGGCCAATTGCAATGGTGTAGCGTCAGTCAATTTATTTCTAGCAGAGATCACGCCAGAACGATCGAATTTCATAAGTTCCTCAATCACCTTTACCGATCCTTGCATGGCGGCGATGTGAGCACAAGTATTGCCGTCCTTACTGGTTGCATTGACCAGCGACGGATGCTGCTGCAGGAATAGTTTGGCCACTTCAGAGTAGTTGTTCTGCGCGGCGACATGTATGGGTTTTTGGCCCATATCGTCGGTCGCGTCTATGTCAGCCCCCAAATCAAGCAAAAGCTGACATACCTCCATCTGTCCGCTAGCTGCAGCTAGATGGAGTGGCGTTTGTTTTCGTAACGTCAATATGTCAATAACTGCATTATGATCCTTGATGAGAAACTTCACTAGATGTGTGAAGCCATTCATCGCGGCCAGATGCAACGCCGTGCGACCGACGCGTGATTTAGAATTGATGAACGCCTTGTTGGTTAGCAGCGCATCGCATACGTGCAGATACCCTCGTTCCGCGGCCAAATGCAGTGCAGAGCGACCTTCAGTATCGAATACATCTACTCTGGCATGATTCGCTAAAAGGTTGTTGACCAGCTCCATATGCCCTCTATGACAAGCAATCAGTAATGGCGTCCAGCCGACCGATGACTGACGATTCATGGCTTTCTGAATATCCGTAGGATTCATGTGAGATATCATTTCCATAAGAACGTCATTGTTTCCAGCCATAGCGCAATAGTGAAATACAGTTTCGAGGGCATTTTTTGTTGATAAAGTCACGTCGGCACCGTTTTTTAACAACATTCGAACAATTTCCTTGTCCGATTCGGGAATTTTGACTTCCTCTTTAGTAATTTGGCAAGTGAAATGTAAGGCAGTAGCACCGTCATCATTTACAGTATTAATATAACTAGTGGCTTTGTCGGGACCGTGCTTTTCTTTAACTGTTTCTATCAAATGTTTGACTATTTCAGGGTGACAAGAACGGCAGGCCATATGTAAAGGAGTCTCGCCAGTCTAACGGAGTTGTGAGAATATATAAAGCAATGTTCGTTAGTTTTACGGTTTCAACTCACATTGGACTTGTAGAGCGGATCGCCACCATCTTCGAGAAGTTGCATCAGCGTTGCCAGATTACCATGACGGGCTGCTACATGCACCGGCGTCAGGCCATCATCGGTAGTTAAATTGGGACTAGCGCCGGACTTAAGGAGCATTAAGGCGCACCGATCGCCATCCTTAACCCTTGCGGCTATATGTAACGGTGTTTCATTCATTTTCCCACCTCGGACATGGACATCAGCTCCGAAACCAAGCAGAGTTTCAACAACAGCCGGCTTTGCTGACTCAACAGCTATATGCAATGCTGTATAGTTATCCTATAAAAAGTCATTTATTTAATAAAAGTTGTTTGTCCAATTTGGAAACGATACCCACATTAGTTTTCACATCTACTTTTTCGCCCTTTTGCAATAAAGTGTTGATTATACCCGTATGACCGTAAGCCGCAGCTGTATGAATACTTCGGGCACCGTTCTTATTTGGCATATGAAGGTAGACACCCTTCTTAAAAAGCATTGTTGCACATTCGGCATGACCATTTAGCGAAGCAATATGCATTAGGGTACTGCCATCTTTGGTACGCTCAAAAATACTGGCTTTAAACTTATCAGCTAAAATTTCAATGACATGAGCATGACCATTCTCAGCAGCCAAGTGCATCGGGGTGCGATCTGAAGAGGAAAAATAGAATTAAATGGATTTTCCAAAAAATAGAAAATTTTTTCACCTTGATTATCGGCTATGGATGCTGAGGCCCTTACACCATAGAAATACTTGAGCAAAGCTTCATCCCCTTCGGCCGCTGCTATATGTAGCGCCGTTTGTCCTTCACCATTTTGCGTGTCCACATTTGTACCGTAATCCACCAGAATGCGGACCATATCCACATCCCGTCGTCTTGCGGCCAAATGTAAGGCCGTATCACCATTAGCCGCTGTCGCCTAGAAAATTTATAAAATGCATTCCCGTTAATTATTGGTATTTAACATAGAGGTCAAAGTGAATGTTATTTTAAACTATTGTTGTTTATGCAAATGATCAAAGGACAAGAAACAACGTGGAGCACAATTTCAACATTTTGCCAACTTTTTTTCATTTGTTTCGCATGTGCACCATACGTGGCGAATAGTTGGTTTCCATAAATGCAAGCGTGCATGCAAATGCATTTTGACATTGAATGAATTGAACTTTCAACTGTTTTGCTTTTGTCCTAAATTCAAAAGTTTCAAAGTTAAACCGGCTTTAGGCGACGTTCAAACCGGCAAACACGAATTGTGTTCCTATGCACATAAGCGTGGATATATATAAAAGTATGCAAAAGTCTCAAACAAAAGTTTATGTAAATAAATCGCACCGACAAGAATATAAGAATAAAGTGCGATATTTTAATTAAGCAACGACAACGCATGCTAAATTAAAGAATTTGCGTGACATTCGCTTTAATACATATGGATAGTTATTATATATACTTTTGTACGGGCAGATAACATATGACTAACGCGGTTTTCTAAAAACTTTATTTTATTAAAGTTGACGTTAGATAAGGCATCAGATAAGAATTTTTATTATATTTTTTTCTTCTTACATTTAAAATTTCATATACGTGCGCACATTAGGTGTTATGCGAGGGTAATCTGTGTAAAAAGTTATAGGCCTAACTAATTGAAAGTACACGCAAAACTTCGGTGCAAGTTTTCATATTAAACCTTTCATTAACTGTTATTCAAAAAGTTCTAACAAATAACAGTGACAAAAATATGGAGAAAAATCGCAAGTTGAAGCATTTACAAAAGAGATATTCAAGTTAATCTGGATGTTAACTTACCTTCAGTTGTTCAGCCGTTTGTGCGGACAATAATTCTCTGCACATGGACTGATTTCCCGATTCGACAGCAAGTAGCAGAGGAATTTTACCTCTCTGCAAATCATCGCATTACGTAAATATATATGCAATAAAGTAAATTATAAAGAAACCGTTTCATTTAAACGTTTCCCATACTTACTCCGTCTGCTTTGATGCGTATATCTTTGCCGGCTGCTGCTAGTAAAGCTCTCAGTATATTGGTAGCTGTACCAGTTTGACGACTTGATACTAAATGGACAGCAGTTTGTGCTCTAGACTGAAAGCAATCACGAAGTAATTCTTTATTAATTGGCTTTTCCAACTCAACCGACAAATTACAACTAAATAAATGCATTTCAATGAATTGCTACACCAGTTACATAAATAGAATTTTTATTGTTTTCATTCTTCTAAAATTAGCTTTACAGATTGACAGCAGATAAAATCAGCAATGCGCAGAAGGTATTGTTATTCTATTTGAAAATTTTTAACAAGCATATAACACTAATAACACGCCCTCCATTGCAAACCTTATAATACTTCATATCACATTAAGGGTATTCACAATTTGCGTCAGAGATGAGCACAATTTCTATACTTATTGCCAATTAACAGCTTTCTCTTTCTAACGGTCACGAATTAGTGAATTTCGAAAACATATCCTACTTAATTATTATTAACCGCCAAATCACACGCCTTAGAAAATCGTACGCATCAAAACACGCTGACCGATCCCGGCAAAGCAAAAATTTTTCACACCCTTTATCTCTCGTTTAAATAGAGTCTAATGATCCCGATCTACGATCTACCTTATGTACTACGCTTTCGTTTATTAGTGAAAAAAAGATTTCCCATAAGAAAAACCATGAAACGCGTCCGTTCTTTGCCAGTGCATTGTCGATTCATCCGACCGTTCGATCGTTGTCCGCTGATGCGCTTTTTAAGCTCGCATACATTTTGATAAAAACTTCGAAAAAAAAACTTTGGAAAGTTTTCCAAAATTTTTACTGCATGATTGAATAGAATCTAAGAGTCATTACTTGCGGCTATTAGCAATGATTTATATTTATATACTTTTGTGAACACTCGTCTATACGGACTATAAACATATAGCTTTACTTCAAATACTGCTTAACCATCTGATTCAGCCTGTAGGTCCGTTTTCTGTCTTGAGAAGTCTCACAGTCGTCGTAAAGATTTAAGGAAGAAAGGGAAAACTTGACTCAGTTATTATTCAGTGAAACAGCCATGTGTTCGGAATAATAGAAAAAGAAAAAGTCAAATTATACCAACATTGTCATTCTTGCTGCAATCTAATTATAAAACGCTACAGTATCTAACTGTAGTAGTTTACAAAGCGTTTTAAAAATGTGATGAATGCCATCAATTATAGTATACACTAACAATGTTATTGACTGACATCCATTGAATTGCCTGACATCCAATGCTCTTTCTAATAGAGTCGACAGTGTTCACGGAGTTGTTTAATTCGAATCAAAGGTTTGCTTCATATTGCAATGCTTCAAAATTTTCTACGAATTTTCAATAAATCCAAATAAACAAATGAGTCTGTAGTCTTAAGAAAGCGTACCAGATATTCTAAAAAGGTCTTCTAAAAAAAAAAGAGGTAAAAATGCATAGTCGCTTAATTCACATTAGCTTAATTTGCTGACTTGGCCTAAGCATATTAAACAACACAATTATATATATCATATATTATATTATATATGTTATTATATATATTTTGTGTATATTATATCATATATTATACATGAAACATTTTACCTTAAATTATGAAATTATAATTTGTAATATATAACTATGGATATGTTACGCTAAAACAGCGTCGAAATGAAAGATAATCTATATGGCGACGAGATATACGTATTCATCTTCAACTTTACAATAACATTGAGCCTGGATCGAAATGGCAATGAATTAAAGTTCATTGCACTTTTATGTGTTTCAAATATTTTCACCTCATTCTGATATCAAGGGTTGTGTTATTTAAAAATATTTATAAATTCTGACAGATATACATCCCATGTTATATAGCTTTTAATAAATTATTCTGATATAACCCACGAAAATAGCTTAATATTATTTATTTTGGTAGATTTACAGCACTTGACATTATTTATAGATAAAATCTAAGATATTCATCTAGCAAGCTTAGTGTATTCAATTTGTCAATTGCTTTGTGAAATCGAAGATCAGGCATCTGAGATAAGATTATAAAGTCTTTGTGATCGCAAGGCATAACCACGCCTGCTTATCTTTTCGTTAACGAAAATTTCCAAAGTTTCCTAAGCTAAGAAAGAATATTATGACTTGCGACTAGACTGCTTTTCAGACTGTTTCGAACATGGCATCATCATTTACAACACGCGACCAAGCTCAATGTTTATGTAATATTTTCGAAAGCCATATAAAAATAAAATTTCAATTGTCCATCGGTGCAGTTACTGTTAAATACTGTAATTTTTCCAACAAACGGTAAAGTTTGGTTATTTCATTCTGAATCGGATCACTGTAATGTCATCGAAAACCCTATTTAAAAGTTAAATAAAGTCATAAAATTTTTCGGCTGTTTAGCGTTTTCAACAAAATTTGCTAAGTAACGAAACCTGTTGTTTATAAAAAGTGAAAAAAATATTAAAAAAAAAACAGAAAAGAAATAAAAATGGAATATTAAAACTAAGCCATGATAACTATAGATAAGGACAACAAAAAACAAGAAGAAGAAAAACAATATTCATCCAAGACCGAATCATGAGAACTCACCACTTGCACTCGCAAATGTGTTATGTGGGGGAATATTTATTAGTTTAAGAGAAAATGATTAGATCTGTTAGATACATTTATGGAATTGTTATCAATATTACGTAGACGCACGTAGCCAAGCGCCAGGCCTTTTCCGAATTTCTTTTGCTTTTCCTTGGAGAGCAGAAGCCCGATGTACTCTAAATAATTCTGTTGAGTTTTGCTAAGACTGTGTGACTGTTTTTTTTTTTTTGCTTTACAAAAGTTTTGAGCTCCACGTTGACATAATCAAAAAGAAACTTAACCGCGTACGGAACCTATACATTTTTCCATTCCCCTTTCGCCTACAAAGGCCATGACAAAACTAATACACCTTTTTTCTTTCTTATGTTATTTATAATAGGATGAGTTCTTATGCACTTAAAGACTTTTTTATCTAAGAAAGCATGAACGACCCAAATAGGTACTCTTTGTTTTTTTTTTTTTAAGCAGAAGAAAAAAGCGAAAGAAAAATTGCAAAATAATAAAGACATTTTCTAACGGCTTGAGTGACCTAACCTTGTGACAATTAAAGTAAAGTTGAACTTGACGACACTTGCATGCTAGTTGCACGCATAATAAATTAATGAATGCAATGTCGTGCATCTGGATCATGGATCATACATAAAAATAAACGCACGGACGACTATCGCTACCCCCTGGAAATTCCTGTACATATCACTACAGCACTAACATAAACGAACGCAATAACAATAGAAGCGTTAGCATGTTATGTACCGTATAATTTATATAGTTATAGCTGACCTTTGGTCGTCAGCGACACACACGGGTATTTCCTTAGAATTTCTCCTTTAAAACTTTTTATTTTGAAAATTCAAAATATTTGAACAAAAAGCATAATAAATCACCCACCGACGACCACCGACAATACCAATACCAATACATCTCCGGTTTTATTTTGTTATTGATTTTTTTATTTTGTTTTTTGCTTTTAGGCGGGAACTATGATATACGTATGTATTTAATACACTTTGAGTGTATGCTAGTGAATGTATTACTTACCCCACCCGTCGAGAAGGGATCAACGCCATGTTTGTTTAGCAACAGTTTTACGACATCCTCACGCGAATACATCGCTGCTATATGCAACACATTATAGTTGTCCTGTAACGCAACAACAAGAACAAAAGAAAGAAACAAATGAATCAGTTAAAAAATTGAAAGTTTCAATAGGCGATTACCCACCCACCCATCACTGTGTTTTGTTAAGTGAAAGTTTCACTTTTCATTATAAAAGAATTATCATCAACGAATTATAGAAAGGTGTGTAATTCGTTTTAAGTAAGTGTCAGTAAATCTTCTTTTTAATTAGCTACAATGCCGTTGCACCTGCTCATGCAATAAACGCATCAATAAGTAATCAACGTTCAATAAAATTAATTTACAAACAGAGATAGATACTCACAATATTGCGTTAAAGTCATAAATTTTCGTTTAAATAACGGAAAAAAGATTTTACATTGCAATTAACCTAGACTGTTATTTTCTTGACTCCTACTAGGTGCAGTACTTAATTGTTCCAAAATTTACCTAATTTCGCAATTAAAATGAAACGAAAGGTATAACCATACGCTTCACACGTTGTTCAGAGTATAATAAATTTGTGCAGATGTATGTAATACTCTGAAAGGTTTAAGTTATACCCACGCTTGGTTAAAACAATACATTCAGAATCATTCCTTGAAATGATTTAAACTCGTCTGTCCGTACGTCCGCATGATTTTTGTCCCAGTAAATTTTTGCATCACTTACTATTCGCAATTTTTAAGATATTTTGACAAAATATGGTGTGTTGATGTGTTTTGACCTAAAAGTAATTGCCATTGCAAATCAATTGGATCGGATCACTTATGCGACCCATATAACGAGTTACTTCCAAAACTTTGTTACGTGAAAATAGCTAGTTTCCGAATTTCCAATAAAAATCTGAATATCTTGACATGCTAAAGTAATGTGAAGAATTTAGACTTCTGGTACAAGGGCATATTAATTTGCGCGAATGTATGCAACACCCGTAAGAACTTGGGATAAACGCACCACTTCAGAAAGCTGAAGTTTACATAGTAATTCTGAATCGATCTAAGTTTATCTGTCCGTTTGTCCTTGTTCTTTTCTTATCTTCAGCCTACAGGCCGCAATTTTTCAGATATTTTGTTGAAACTTGTTACACCGACATGCTCTGACTGAAGGGCGAACCTTATTGAAAATGGTGTTGGTTCGATCATCTTTTGACCATTTCCCATATAATATCTTATTTTGAAAAGTAGTTATATCAACAATTTTATTAAGCAAAGTATTTTAAAGTACTTAATTGTTGGCCGTATCTGACTATCGAGAAAACATTACATTTGATGTCTTGAATTAATGCTGGACTGATGGAATATGGCATATTTGATCGATTTGCATCGATCCATTTGGAAAAATTGATTCATATCATCAAAAGAAAAAAACTCGTTTTTCTTCCACAACTGAAGGCCGTGCCTTATAATCGTAAAGCTTTCTGAGTATAGTAAACGTTCTTTGGTCGTATCATTCGATTCCGATATCGAAATTAAATAATAAACATTATTAAAATTGCTGCGCAGAATGCGAAAGGGGTTAAATAGCTCATGGTTGAATATCAACTGTATACGTTTAATAAAGTGAAATTAGCGAGTCACGCGATGAGGTGCATCAACGTTAATTCCGTTTAATAAAAAAAAAAAAAAAATGCATGAATTCTGTCGCTTAGCAGATCACACACAAATATTATATATAAAACAAAGTCGGGCTTTTCTAGCCAAACAAGTCGAGGTGCTTGGCGGGGCAAATAGCACTTGGGATCCCAAATGGCGCTGTAGTAAGAACTGCTTCTGAACAGAATCAATTGACGCAATGCGACATTGATCATTCGAGGATTAAGCAAGGCAAGTGTACTATAAATTAACTAAACCTATGGGCCTCGATGAAAACAATTTCACGCATATGTGGGTTCACGACGAAAATTTACATTTATTCATACATTTTCTATTTTATTATTTACTATTTTTAGGGTCCTTAGGGATGCTTTTGCCTACATAAACGATTTTGTGTTAAAAACCTTCTTGTACTTTTCTCTCCAAATGCCATTTAATAAAATGCAAACAGAGAGTATAACTAATTCCTTTAGTTCGCTCGAAGTTTCACCAAATTCCATATTTTAATATAAACGAATTTTTCAGTAAACGGTTAGATTTTTAACTCAGCAATTCGTTGCATTGATAGCTATAATAAGAGTTTTTTGACTAAAGACGTTCGATACTGGTTTGCAAAGCATTAGCTATGTACAGTACTTCCCATTTAGAAGCATCACTCTTAAAAGAAAACAACGAATCCCACAACTGGGCCGTTCGCTTAAGTACTCACTAGTTTGAGTTTTTGTGTACAAATTTTACATAGGTACGTACGATAGAGTGTAATAAACAATGTAAGAATAGTTAGAGTTTTTTATAGCTTCGTAATCAATTCGTTTATAACTTTATATGATTTTCTCTTGTAATTACTTTATTTTCTAACTAACCAGTGCACTTGAGAGATCACTATTCTTGGAAAACCGCTAAACGGAGCGATGGGTGTGGTGCTTTAAAGCGAATGATTCATCCAAGTAAGTGAAAGCAAGCAAATGCAACATTTTGATAATGAATGTTTTGCTCTAAGGGGGAAATGTGTTCATTCATGTGCTCATGCAATAAAATTGTGGATCACGTAAAGTAGTCATGTTTTTATATCATTTTTGAATACTTCAGGTTATCTCGAAGGAAACTCTAATCATTTAAGGAGGGATTTTGAATACCTACAATTTTAAGTAAATGGATGAGAACTAATCAGTTTTTTATTGGTTGCGAGCGAGACGATCAATCCTCTGTGCGACTTGGCGGTACTTGGTCGCACCGACAGTAAGTGTTCAATCGGTAAAGACAACTAAAGCCATTCATCACGTCGATCTGGTTTTAATCCTTAGAGAAGCTTCATTGTTATATGGTAAACATCAGAAATGAGTTTTCAAAATACATTTTCACTTCAACAGCAACTACTACGCTTCATTGAAAAGCACTGTATGGATTTCAGTTAAATTATTCGCAATAATGTAAAATACGAATGACACGCATAATTAAACGAAACAGAAATGAATTTATTCAAATACTATGACGGAAAGAGAATCATTTTAGACACACTAACATGCAAACAGAGCGACAGACAGGTAGACAATAAATATTTCATTCCTGGCACATTCTTTCCACTGCATATTCTTGTCAGTAGAAGTCGTTCGTAATAAAGAAAAAAAAATACAAAGGTCGTCTACTTATTTAAAGTACTGTTAGTGTAAAGTTAAATAAAGGGTAAAACCGGAAACAAATAAGCGGAAGTAACAACAGAAAATTATTAA